CTATTCTATTCTATTCTATTCTATTCTATTCTATTCTATTCTATTCTACTATCTTATCCTATTTTATCCTATCCTATCCTGTCCTGTCCTGTCCCTACCCTACCCTACCGCGCCCTACCCTGCTGTATTCCACTCTCTCCCTCTGACTCGATGCCTTTCATCATTTTGCAATTTCCCATTGCCTGTTCCTATCTCTGCAAAAATTGATTTTCCGTCTCTCTTTTGTACCAAGGAGCCTTCTCTCTGCTCGGGTGCAGCCTCTTTTTCCAATCACGTATCTCACCTCCCCTTTATTCCTCCTGCTAATAAAATCTGTGGCTTATAATGGCCTTTTAACATCTGTCTCCCCAGAGCTAGATGGAAATCCAAAGCCATCCTGGCAGAGACGCCGGAAAAGAGCTCAACATCTCCGGTCATCCAGTCAACCCGCCTTTGAGCTCCAATGGGGGGGAAATCGGGTTCTGAGATCTGGCATCTCCCGCGGGCGTTGCAGGATCATAAAACTGAGGCCAACCATTTGCCGTCGGGCCCTTCCAGCAGGCTAGCCGGTGGCCAAGATCACTACACAGCTTCCATTTTCGGAAGGAAAAGCAAGAGAGATAAGTTTGGCATCTGCAACGGAGAAGAACAATCAAGGCCCAAGGTTTTCTTCTGGGCATCTTGAAGCCAATGGACTTTCCTAGTTGTGGTTCTTCTCTCTCTCGAAGGAAGCCAACTTGGCTTCCCTTTCTGTGCGGCCATGACTCTGGGGCAAAGAAACTTGTGGCCTTCGGGTTCTTCGAAACGATGATTTTCATGCTGCCAGATATGTTTGGACACAAACATTTCAGTGTATGTGTGCGTGTGTAATTAATTATGGGTGCTAAGCAGTGGTGGGATTCAGCCAGTTTGCACAAGTTAGGGAGAACCGGTTGTTAACTTTCTGTGATGACCCAGGGTGTGGCACAAAGGCTACACAGTCAGATAATCAATAAGAGTCCCTTTATCATCTCCAACTTTGCTCCCAAGGTACAGGTTGCCTTCTGGCTGGAGAAAAACTCTCCCAGGAACAGCCTTTGACTGCAGAAAATTAAGTCCAAAACACGATCAACACAAACTGTAACTTAAAGTCCAAACAAGCTAAACTGAAGTAATTAGTTTGGCAAGGCAGGAGCAAGAATTTCAGACTTGAAGCCACGGCAAAACTCACATGGTTGGGAAGACGCCAGGAACATGGATAAGCCATGACAACACAGGATAGAGTCATGTTTGCTCCCAACAGCCTGCCACACGCAGCCTGCCTTTCTTATCAACTGTCTTCCCAGTTGTGGCTGATGAAGGGAATCAGGGCCTTTTCCTCTTCTGTAAACCATGCAACCCATGTTGCTCCCTTCTCTGTTCCTCCCCGTATGCCCTAGGATGAAAAGGGAGTGGGCCTGGCTCTTCCTCTGAACTCCCTCTCCCTTGTTCTACCTCTCTCCTGCTCTGCCCAGCCAGACTTTGCCCTTCCCCCGTTTCCTCCAAAGCCAACGGAGCCACACTCCCCCTCCCTGTCGGCTGTTCATCTCCCTCCTCTTCAGATTCAGACTCCGACAGGGGCACGACACTTTCTGAGCAGTTTGGTGAACTGGTTTTTGGAAGAAATCATTAGGGCAGAGAACCGGTTGTTAAATTATTTGAATCCCACCACTGGTCCTAAGGCGCACAGCAAGCTCCTCATCTTTACCTTTGCCCTGGTTAGTTCTCCATCTCAGTTGCTCCAGCATGGTTCTGGCAACCAGGGCTGTCCTCTTGACCATCCCTGGACAGAGGGAAGGTTGGGAGATGTAGACCTCAAGGAACATCCGAGAGGCTGGAACAGGGAAAACCCAGCATTGTGCAAAGATGAAAATCAGGGCGAATGATGGAAGATTTCTTACGAGCTGTGAGATGACGTGGTTGAGGATATGGAAGGTCTCTACTCATGTAGTGTGGCAGAGACCCCCGCCCCCAAATACATAGGGACCCCCCTGCCCAGCTCGTTTTCAGGGTATTTATTGGTGCCTTTTCTAGTTGAATGTCAATCAATAAACAGAGGTTTGTGTTTTTTTCTACTAAATGAGTATCTGGAATTTTGGAGAAAGTGGTCCCTCACTTTGAAAAGGGGAATTACCGAGTTCTGGGCTATTTTTTTAAATTTTTATAACACTTTTATTGTTTTTATATATAATTCCAGGTCGTGAAGATGCTTAATAATACGCCTTCCTTCTCTTATTTCCCCCTGCAACAACAACCCTGCAGGGTGGGCAGGGCTAAGAGAGAGAAACTGGGACTAGAACTCAGAATCTCCTGGTTGATTGGCCTAAAGTCATCCAATTGGCTTTCATGCCTAAGGCGGGAGCAGAACTCAGAATCTCCTGGTTGATTGGCCTAAAGTCACCCAATTGGCTTTCATGCCTAAGGCGGGAGCAGAACTCAGAATCTCCTGGTTGATTGGCCCAAAGTCATCCAACTAACTTTCGTGTCTGAGATGGGACTAGAACTCAGAATCTCCTGGCTTTTTTTAACTTGGTGCCATCATCACAAGACCAAATGTTTTGACTCTGACTGAATCAAAAGGAGATTCAAGAGGATCTCAAATGGCGTGGAGAAAGGCTCCACTCTGTGTAAGGGCAGAAAACTTGGGTGCGGAGTCAATTCGCTTGAGGAAGAAGAAGTTATCCGATTACTTGTCCAGAGCAGTTGATTCACACGGAGGACCAGCAAGTCCTCCCAGTGCAGATTGCTCCTTTTTATCCTAGCTTGTAAAAACAAATACAGGTAATTCTGTAGTTGCTTTTACAAACTAGGATAAAAAAAACATTTGTTAATGAATGGAAGATTAGAATAGTATGGAATGGAATGGAATGGAATGGAATAGTACTGTATAGCATAGTGTATAATCTATAGGATAGGATAGAATAGAGAATGGAATGGAATGTAAATAGAATAGGATAGGATGGGATGCGATGGAATAGTATAGTATTAGTATAGCATAGCATAGTGTATAGTATAGTGTATAATGTATAGTATACTATAGGATAGGATAGAGAATGGAATGGAATGTAAATAGAATAGGATGGGATGGGATGGGATGGGATGGAATAGAACAGAACAAATATTGGAAGGAATAGAATAGAATAGAATAGAATAGAATAGAATAGAATAGAATAGAATTCTTGATTGGCCAAGTGTGATTGGACATAAAAGAATGAAATAGAATTGTTATATTGTTATAGAATAGAGACTGGACAATCATTTGTCTGAGATACACGGTCTCTTACCTTGGGTAAGAGGTTGGACTAGAAGACCTCCAGGGTTCCTTCCAACCCCAGGATTCTTTGATCTACAAAGCAATAAAGGTAAAAGCAGGAGCAAGAGAAAGAACAAAGAAAGAAAGAAAAAAACCCAAGGGGCAGAAAGAAAGGAAATACAAAAAAGAACATTCTGATTTCCTTTCTGGTAAATACAACAACAAAGCTATTTCTTACGGTAAGATAATCCTCGACTTACAGCTATTTAGCGACCATTACAACTGCACCGAGAAAACTAACTTATGACCAGTCCTCAAAATAACCCTCTCCTCCCACCACCTCCCAGCCACAGGATAAAATTTGGGTGCTTCACAACCAGCCATGCATGGAACCATTTGAAACCTTCCCAGCTGGCTTCCAATAAGCAAAGCTGATGGATTTACTTAATGACCGCCTGATTCACGTTAATTCACTTAACAACTGCCTTGCTTAGTTACTGAAATTCTGGATCCAATTGTGGTCGTTGTGGAGGACTACATGAATAGCTATTTTCCTAGAAACGTACTGGTAGCCAACAGAATACTCTGGAATAGGCTACAGCTAAGATGCCTTCTTCAAGCTGTCCTCCTCCAGATCTTTTGTATTACAACTTCCATCCATCCATGCACGGGGAAAGCTGAAATAGGAGTGAAGAATAGAGGTGGGTATTCAACCGGTTCTGCAGAACTGGTAGCGGAAATTTTGAGTAGTTCGGAGGACCGGCAAATACCACCTCTGACTGGCCCCGCCCCCATCTCTTCTCCGCCTCCCGAGTCCCAGATGATTGGCTGGGTCTTCTTTGGTTGCCCTGCACAGGAGAGCGGAGCTGGAAAGTAGGATGGGAAGAGAATGAGATTTTGCAGTAACCTTCCCTTGCCACGCCCACCAAGCCACGCCCACAGAACTGGTAGTAAAAAAAATGTGAGTCCCACTGCTGGACTGAAGAATCTACAGCAGTATTTCTCAACCTTGGCCACTTTAAAATGAGCAGATTTCAGCTCCCAGCTGGCATGTATGGGCTAACTCCCAGAATTCTTCAGCCAGCACATCTGCCTGGGGAATTCTGGGAGTTGAAGTCCGCCCCTTTTAAACTAGGCAACTTTGAGAAATGGTGAGCTAGTTACACACAGTATGGCATGAAGTCAGCAGCTGTGTTACACTGCCTCCTGTGGCCGATTATTGTATCGCAAGGGCAGATTCCTGCAGGATCTTTCTTTCCTAAGTTTCATGGAATTGCCTTAGGAAGCAAGCTTTATTTTATTTTATTTTTATTTTATTTGGTTTGTCAATTGCTTACAAGATGAACAGGTATAAGTAAAAATGTAGTTATGAATACATGGATACATATAAGAAAAATAAAAGAAACAATAGGACAGGGACAGTAGGCACAATTGGTGCATTTATGCACGCCCCCTACAGACCTCTTAGGAAAGGGGTGAGGTCAATAGTAGACAGTCTAAGGTTAAAGTTTTTGGGGTTTGGGGAAGAAACCACAGTGTCAGGTAGAGTATTCCAGACATTGACCACTCTGTGGCTGAAGTCGTATTTCCTGCAATCAAGTTTGGTGCGGTTAACCTTGAGTTTGTATCTATTGTTTGCTCTTGTATTGTTATGGTTGAAGCTGAAGTATTCATTGACAGGTAGGACGTTGCAATGTATGATTTTACATACTATACTTAGATCGGACCAAAGGCGGCGTAGTTGTAGGTTTTCTAGGTCTAGAATTTCAAGTCTGGTAGCATAAGGTATTCTGCAAGGAGTAGAGGAGTGGAGAACTCTTCTTGTGAAATAGTTCTGGACTTTCTCAACTGTGCTAATATCAGATACGTAATGTGGGTTCCAGACTGATGAGCTGTATTCGAGTATTGGTCTAGCAAATGTTTTGTATGCTCTAGTTAGTAGTGTAATATTACCAGAGAAGAAGCTACGTAGGATTAGGTTAACAACTCTTAATGCCTTTTTGGCTATGTAGTTACAGTGGGCTCTAGCACTTAGATCATTAGAGATGAGTATTCCAAGGTCCTTGACAGAGTTTGGATCATCAACAAGGTCTTGACTATTCAACTGTGCTAAAGCTGCTTAGTGCTGTGAAACTCAAACTGAAACTCCTCTTCTTTGCTTGTGTTTTGCATTTGGAGCAGATTTC